GACGGCGGCGCCTGACCGTTGTCGACACACTGGATCACTTGCCAGCGCTGTCAACAATACTCTAGCAACCGCCGTCGCAGCACGCGCTGAACGGACGGACGGACGGACGGACGGACGGTGGTCGAACTCTGAAAGTAGCCTATCGCTTTGCCCTTAGGCAGAAGCCTGGTATGCGACAACGAGCTTTTCAGTAGGGTCCTGCAAAGAAACTTTATGGCACATGCGCATATACTGTGGTCAGCTACTGCAAAATACTGATTATCTCCTTTTTTATAGCTACTACAGCAAATCAGTCAATTAACAAACTTATCATTGTAACTTTCAGCTTACAGTATAGAAATGGAACCTAACACCGTGATCGATGAAGGACTTGAAAAGTATGGTGACCTATCACGAAGAGAAAAATTACTGCTTCTTCGGCTTTATTGCCACATCCCGGAAGATCTGGAACAGTATTTTAAAGCAGTTTTCGGGGACAGTGGGCTACACCACACTCATGCTTATCATTACTTCAAGAAAAGAATCATGGATAACACGGTAAGAACTAGCACTTTTCAAACTTCTCCATATGAAGGTTTCTTGAGTTACAATTAGCAGCAGCGGCAAAATGGACAGATATTGTGAGGGGAGTCCTAGAGAGAGAAGGGGCGTATTGTCAGCTCATAATAGTTATGGGTTCACCTATGACTTATGTGCACCTTCAGGAGACCACACATTTGTCAGGGAATCCCTGACATCTCCAAGTAGCGGCAAAGCATCATGGTTGCTATCGGGTCGACTTTCAAAGGTACACTTTTGTATCTCATGGGCCTTAAGTTCCCGAAAGGTTAAAAGGTTCGAAATCGTGATCGGAGACCGCCATTCGTATCAAATAGTGTTGACAGCCCATATAGACACGCTTCCAAAAGTCCTGGTAATGACGCGTTTTGGCGGGATTTAATTTCTAATCTTAGCCACAAACATCGGAGATTTATTTGAAGACAAAATTGGTTTGTTTTTCGTGGCAGGAGATGAGATGGATACAAGGACCGAACATTTCAGGATTGGTCCCAGCCTGGCAAGATGGTTGTCACTTATAGATCATCACCATTAACTCTCAAGCAGTGGGATGCTCGCTTTGTGTATGAGCAACTGGATAATGGCAAAATAGCTTTTGGAATCTCCAGAAGTCCATTTTCAAAAGAATTCCTGAAAAAGTAAGTTGAGTGACTATATATGCTTCGTTACAAATTTGTAATATGGAACATTTGTTAATGTATCGTTAGTCCCCCTTGTACCATATCACTATTCTTACAGTTATTCTTGAAACGTTCCGTTGTATTCGTTCTAGGTTGTTGTTGCGCTGTAGTCATATCGGAACAGCGAACCTTTACTGAGAATTCCTCTTGTCATGAGGGTATGAGTAAACGATTTCCGATTCCAACGAGAAATCAGCTAGCGACATGCCTCCAGAACGCTTTTTGAAGAGCTCCTGATTTTTCTAGAAAAACAAAGAGTAGATTCGAGTCCCGTGCGAAGCTGAAGTTTTGTCCACAACTCGCCAATCTTGTGAGATTTTCTTATCACGTACTGCAGCGAAATATCAGCAGCTAACAAAGATCAAGTCAAAATGAATAGCGATTCGGGAGGTGGGATAGCTAACTTCTAAACTTTCTAGCAAGGACCAGGCGATGGATCGATGATTGCATAATGGACTGCGCCGCCCTTACTTGCGACCGTTTACGGTGGATTTGATCTACGCTAATTGTGATCCAGTTAGACATAATGCTCTCACTTACAATTTTTAATTTATTTTACAATGTGGAGGTATTGTAGTGGCAAAAGGCGCACTAACACACAAGCATGATCCTAGATTCGAATCCCACATCCATATCGGCCCACTTCTAAGCATTACATCCATTCGGGGCTGGCTAGTTAGTTCAAGGATTGTATGGAAGG